TTGGATAAAACAAAATTACGAATCTATTATATATACACTATATTGCGAAAAGTATTAGGACACCTGCCTTTACACGCACATGAACTTTAATGGCATCCCGGTCTTAGTCCGTGGGGTTCAATATTGAGTTGGCCCACCCTTTGCAGCTATATCAGCTTCAAACTCTTCTGGGAAAGCTGTCCACAAGGTTTAGGAGTGTGTCTATGGGAATGTTTGACCATTCTTCCAGAAGCACATTTTCGATGTCAGGCACTGATTTCGGACGAGAAGGCCTGGTTCTCAGTCTCCGCTCTAATTCATCCCAAAAGTGTTCTATTGGGTGCAGGCCAGTCAAGTTCCTCCACCCCAAACTCGCTCATCCATGTTTTTGTAGACTTTGCTTTGTGCACTGGTGTGCAGTCATGTTGGAACAGGAAGGGGCCATCCCCAAACTCCCACAAAGTTGGGAGCATGAAATTGTCCAGAATGTCTTGGTATGCTTATGCCTTCAGAGTTCCCTTCACTGGAACTAAGGGGCCAAGCCCAGACCCTGAAAAACAACCCCAAACCTTAATCTCCCCTCCAACAAACTTTACACTTAGCAGTCAGGTAAGTACCGTTCTCCTGGCAATCTCCAAACCCAGATACATCCATCAGATTGCCAGACAGAGAAGCGTGATTCATCACTCCAGAGAGCACGTTTCCACTGCTCTAGAGTCCAGTGGCAGTGTGTTTTACACTACTGCATCCGACACTTTGCATTGCACTTGGTGATGTAAGGCTTGCATGCAGCTGCTCGACCATAGAAACCCATTCCATGAAGCTCTCCACACACTGTTGCTGTGCTAATCTGAAGGCCACATGAAGTATGGAGCTCTTTAGCTATTGACTCTGCACATAGTTGGCAACTTCTGCGCAATGTGCGCTTCAGCTTGTGCTGACCCAATCTGTCATTTTACATGGCCTACCACTTCATAGCTGAGTTGCTTCAACTTTGTCATAATACCACTAACAGTTGATCGATGAATATTTAGTAGCAAGGAAATTTCAGGGATGGACTTATTGCACAGGTGGTAACCTATCACGGCACCACGCTTGAATTCACTGAGCTCCTGAGAGCGACCCATTATTTCAGAAGTGTTTGTAGAAGCAGTCTGCTTGCCTAGGTGCTTGATTTTATACACCTGTGGCCATGGAGGTGATTGGAATACCTGAATCCAATGGTTTGGAGGGGTTTCCCAATACTTTTGGCAATATAGTGTATGTATTTCACCTGTATATTTATTGTCGCCCAGAGTTAGGCATTAATTTCATTTACACACTCCATGAATGGCAAATTTGACCAAGAATTTTCCCAAGATGGCCAGCCAAAATGCAGCATTTATCATTGGCTATAACTTCCATTGCTTCCATAAGACCTGAGATGCAGAGTGACAGAATGACCTCATTGACTGAATGATCACACGCTTCCACTTACTTAGGCTTTTAAAGAAAGAGTGTACAGGCAAAGTTTAACAAAGAGAAGTGAAAGAAAATAAAATACGATTACACCCTGTTCAGCATATCCCTGGAAGCTATGCTAATGCTTATGTGTGCTTCATGTGACCTTTATCAATCCAGGCAACTTCCCATGGCCTCGGGGATAAGATTATATCAAGGGGTCTTTAAACCTTTTCTAAGCATCCATCCTGAATCTCAGGTCATGATTAAATAAATAAATAGTGCCTGTCTGCCTATCAGATCAGATTTCAGAACTCTTTTCACCATCACACTCAGTAAATCTGCTTGATATTTTTGGATGTTCTGTCATACATCTTCTATTGCATCATCTTATTGTTAGTTATTCAGCAGGTGCATGCACCACGGTAGAATCTGCAAACCCTGAAAAGCAAGCAGTATCAAGCATAGGTACATTTGTGCATTTTCTGGAGATGTCAGATTTATTTTATACTACTCATTTACTATACATTGCACTAATATATTTGTCTCAGCTTTACAGAGAACACTATACCCCTGGACATGAATCATGTCCCTAAAAGATCCTACAATCTAATATACTTATTACAAGTCATGTAGGTACCCACAGCAGGACCAATATGGTTGGAAGCCAGCTAATCTACAATACATTTTTACAACTGCAGTTACAAATGACAACTGGATGTCACCACCACAGATATGGGTAGAACATACAAACCCCATGCAGTTACTGTCTTTTGAATAAGGTAGAACCCTGGGGCTCTGCCCTGCAAAGTATAAATACTATTAATCTTCATGCAGCCAACATGCATCATTTAAGAAATCAACGGTAATTATACAGTTCATCATGGTTTCCTTTTTCAAAATATTAGAATTTGAACTCACTATGGTTGAGCGTAGGTGAGTTATCATTTCCCTGACATTTTGGTGAAAAGTGGGAGATTTTGGTAAACCTTTGCCATTTCTCGTACCAAATGATTTATGAAATGATTTTCTCGTACCAAATGATTTACCAAATGATTTATTGAAAATCCAAGACCAGTACATGCAAAAAATATTTGACAAGTGTGGTAATAATCAAATCGTAAAAAAAAAAAGTTAACAAAGTCTAAGTAGGAACCCACACAAGGGTCTTTAAACCAACAAGTTTGGTCAACAGTAGTGTAACAACACATAAAAATCAGGAGACAGAGCTGCACAAAGTAATATTAGCATAAGCTGGTAAGATTCGTGCAACCTAGCCGTAGACCTGAGCGATTAAGGTCACGTCCAATGAGGAAGCATAGAAAAATGTGAGGGATGTACAGTCCCCACGTGTATTGTTGCGACCCTAAAGAGTGGGTGCTATTCTCTGCTAGGATATCAACCAGTGACAGCGGGGGGAGAGCATACCCAAAAAAAGGAAAACAAAAAAAGGAAAAGAAGACAGTAACAGAAAGAGCAGCAGATAGAACAAAGGGGGAGAGGGGGGAATTTGGGGAAAAAAAAAACAGAATGGAGAGGACAAGAGGAGAGTTTCACCATGGAAAAGGGGGGGGGTGGTATAGGCCATATTCTATTCCCTCATTAGACCCCATTAGGGGAGCCACAAACCTCATGACACAAAATGCATTGATTTCAATGGGGAAGGTGACATTAAGGCAATTATTATGGGGTTTTAAATATACTTGGTCTAATTTTTAAATATCAGAATCAAAGTACACACTGCAAAAAAAGGTAAATACTTACCCATCGTGTCACCCACTATACCATAATCAGCTCTCCCAAGGAGCTTTGCTGCCTGAAAAATCTTCAGCATCCAGAAGTATCAGATGCCTGGTCCCACTCTGCATGCTGTGGTTCCTTCCTCCAACTCTTACATCACTACAGGGTTCAGTAGTGGTTCAAGGACCCAGAGGAAGGAACCACAGAGCCCAGAGGGAGACCAGACATTTAAACACACTCAAAAGTGCCCCAGATATTGAAGATGTTTCAGCCAGTGGAGCTCTTAAAGACAGCCAGTATTGGCACAGTGGGCAGCAGGGGGTAAGTGTTAACATTTATATTTTCAGGGGAGACCTTCATTCTTATATTAATTAAAAAACAACAGAGTAATCTTAAAAGTGAAATGGACTTTAAATTGCTCCTGTGGTTTACAGAATTATTTCCTTTATCCACAGGCTCTTGGGCAAAAAATGCCCCTTATAGGCACATTATTTTAATTTTTTTTACTGAAAGAAAAAAACAAACAGCCTAAAAAACTATATCAATAAATAAAAACAACAGTACACAGATAATTATCAAATGCACAAATAGCGAAAAAAATACAAAGAACATATTTATAAATGTTTTCACTGAAAATGCTCACAAGATTCAAACACCATTCTAATTTCATTCAGTTGGAAAAATGTATGGATCCTGGATGATTTACCCCAAATGACTCTACTAATCCTTAACAATCACCAAGAGGTTATCACGGACAATCTGAAGTATGAGGACCCAGTGGTACTATATGAGAGTTCTAACTAGAGATTGTTTTAATGCCCCCATGATCCAGACTCAGGTAGTGGTGTACAGCACTCAGGATATTTCACAAACATATACATAGAAGGCACAATTTATTTGTCACCATGTGTAATCACTTAGTTGTATGTTGCACAGATGTGTGCAGACTTTTTTTTTTCATTCTCAGTGTTACTCCATGCGACAGGAATATAGGTACATGTTAAGTTGTGCTGTAACCCCTTTTTTGGTTGGTTTTTTTTTTCAATTACCTCTCTACACAGAATGTGGTGCCGTGAGATATATAATACTTTAGAGTCCCAGGAAGGAGCCAATCTAAAGAAATCTCACTTCAAGCCAAGAGTTATTTAGTAAAGTGAAAACTGCTTAAAGGTACAATCCTTGCAGAGAAGATGTTGAGATAAAGTCAGGAAATGGGAACACTCGTAAACATTAAAGACCATTTTCTTTCTCCATTCTTACTACATTAAAAGGTCTAAAAGCACTACAGCAGTAAAAGAAAAGCCTATCATTTTATAGCTCAGCAACAACCTGAGTTTATAAAAAAAAAAAATCTATGGACTTAAACACTTGAAAAATTTATTTAATTGTTAATGTAAATATGTGTTCTCTGCTGTTGACCTGGTGAACTCTTTAACCACAAGCCTACAGGGCACTTATACCCCCTTCCTACCCAGGCCAATTTCCAGCTTTCAGCGCTTTCGCACTTTGAGTGACAATTGCGCAGTCATGCAACACTGTACCCATATAAAATTTTTATCATGTTTTTGTGACAGATAGAGATTTATTTTGGTGGTATTTAATCACCTTTGGGTTTTTTATTTTTTCTTAAACAAACCAAAAACCACTGAAAATTTTGAAAAAAAAAAAAAACATTTTTTCTTAGTTTTTATTATAAAATTTTGTAAATAAGTGATTTTTCTCCTTCACTGATGTGCGCTAATGAGGCAGTGATGGGCACTGATAGGTGGCACTGATGGGCACTGATGTGGAGGCACTGGTAGGTGGCACTGATGGGCATTGACAGGCATCACTGATGGGCACTGAAAGGCAGCACTGATACATGGCACTGATATATGGCACTGATAGGCGGCACTGACTGGCACTGTTAGGTGGCACTGACTGGCACTCATAGGCGACACTGACAGGCACTGATAGGCGGCACTGACTGGCACTGATAGGTGGCACTGTTTTTGCAACACTGATAGGTGGCATTGATTGGCATTGATAGGTGGCACTGACTGGCACTGATGGGTGACACTGAAAGGCAGTTTAGATGGGTACTGATATGTGGCATTGATGTGCACTGGTTGGCACTGATATGTGGCACTGATGGGCACTGGCACGAGGCACTGATGAGCACTGACACAAGGCACTGATGGACATTGACAGGTGGCACTGCTGGGGCTACACTGATCATCAGGGCACACTGATTATCAGTGCTCTGATGATCAGTGTACATGTCCCCTCCGTGGAAAGCCGATTACCGGCTCTCCTCTCCTCTCGATCTGTCAGCGTGACAGCTCGAAAGGAGAGAAATGCCGATAACCTGCATTTCCCTGTTTACATGTGATCAGCTGTGATTGGACACAGCTGATCACATGACCGAGCCGACATCTTCGGCTCTTTCCGTGATTGGTGATCCACTGTGTCCGAGGGACACAGCGCACCGTCGATCACCGCGCTGCGCTCTCCCTGAGCTGCGCATGCGTGGTGAGAATGGGAGGATGTCATATGACGTCCTCCCAGAACGAGAGAACCACCTTGCGTCCATCATATTACTAAATGGTGGGCAGGAGGTGGTTAACCTGTGTATCTACTGTCAAATTAGTGCATATAAGTTACTAAAACTGTGTAGAACAGGGGTATCCAAGCCGCAGCCCACAGGCCACATGTGGCCTAAGACAGCTATGAATGCAGCCCAACACAAAATTATAAACTTACTTAAATATGATGATTTGGATGGGGGGGGTTTGTAAAAAGGCATTTACATTATGCGAACACATGCAGCCAAAGAAAAAATAGTCTTTTACTGAACTTTCATAAGTTTTTATCTTCCCAAAGAAAAAATCAAACTGTTCACAATCACGCCTTATTCATGTACTCAGTTTATGGCAGCACCTATATTTTTGAGCAGCTATTTTCAAGGGTGAAGCACATGAAGGGCAAAATTAGAACCAAAATATCTGATTAGCACCTTGGGAATCAATTGACATTTGCTACTACATCCATTGAACCAGATATCGATGCGTTAGTTTATCAAAAACAGTGTCAAATATCGCACTAGTTTTATTTTGCCCTCTTTTACTTTTATATGAAAAATATTTTACAAAATTAAGTTTTGTTACTCATATACAGTAAGTACATTATCTATATTATTATCTATATCAGTGATCATTAACTTGAGATCTGCTCAACTTTTTTTGCTCATCAACAATCCTTATTTTTTTATTATTTGTTACAGGTACTTATAGTGCCGTCAATTTGCGCAGCACTTTATATATATATATTGTATATACACATCAGTCCCTAACTCTCAAGGGGTGTACAATCTAAGGTCCCTAACTTACATTCATACATACATGGGCCAATTTAGACAGGATCCAATTAACCTCCCATCATGTCTTTAGAGTGTGGGAGGAAACTGGAGTACCCGCAGGAAACCCAAGCAAGCACAGGGAGAACATGCAAAGTCCAGGCAGGGGGTGCCGTGGTTGGGATTCAAACCAATGACTCTAGTACTGCCAGGTGGAAATGCTAACCAATTAGCCACTGTGCTGCCCACAGTGGCTGCCCACAGTGTTAGTGTATTTCATGTGCGGCTCAAGACAATTCCTCTTCTTCCAATGTGGCCCAGGAAAGCCAAAAGGTTGCACACCTCAGATGTAGATCATTGCACCAGGTGAAGTCAATGGTTCAGAACCCAGTTTACCTGAGCTGGGATCCTACAAAAACCAACAGATGGTATATACTGGAGCAAAAGTAACATAGGATTGTTGCCCTTAACAAGCATTAAACTATTACTTTTAATTCAGATTAACTGCAGTAGGTAAACCTAAATGATTGCTTTTGACACTAATGCAGAAAATCTAGCCTTACAAACGTAGACCCCAACACACACTGTTTGAGGTATCTTTTCTTTTTTTGATTTATTGTAAAAATGTGTACACAAATAAAACATGAACCACAAGTACAAACACGTGTCTGAAATTTGTGACCAACAGAATACACATAAGCCAGTAGTCAGTATAAAAATGGAGAGTAAAAGGATACCAAAAGACCAGTATTCACCACATAAGAGCATGTATACACAAACAAGAAACAAAAGGGAACATTAAAGAAAAGGGACAAAGGAAACAAGAAACAACAGTAAACAGTACTGAATATGGCAATATCTGCTCAGTTATGAGACTATTAGTAGCTTGTTCACCTGATGTACAAACTAGATTGGAACAATGAGAATAGTACTAGCACATCGGCTGACCTAGCATAATACAGGAGCACTCCAACATAATTCACAGAAAGAGTCATAAGTAATATGTATGACATTGCGGAATCGGAATGTAGGGGTAAATGATGGTATAGAATAGATAGAGTCAGAAACCAAATGGAGAAGACAGTCACAAATGTCTTGTGTATCTATCCAGGATCCCCAATGTTAAGAGAACTTCCTGAGATATCTTTTCTTAGTTTTGAAATAAAATAGTTTATCCAAATACACTGGAATTTATTTTTTATGCTGAGGGAGATGCAACTTGTCAAATCACCACTAGTGATGGACAAATCTGCTTGGGTTCAGTCCGAGGGTAGGTTCTGCGAATATGTCCAAAAATCTGCAATTCACAAATTTTATTACAAACCCCTTTGAAGTCAATAAGACGTGAATTTTGAAAATCAATTCTTTCCATTTTCAAGGCAAATCAGTAAGACTTGTCAAACAAATGGCATGGGGCACTAAACACTGCCAGAAGTGGGGTGTACAAATGCAAAAAAAAAAAAATATATTTTAAATATTGTTTGGTGGAGAGCAGCTATTTTAATAAGGATTCCATTAAATACCATGCTTGGGGGATTGCCTTAAGCCTGCTGGTGAAGTGGTGAATCTGTAGGATGTACTAAAGCACAAGAATTTAGTAAGAAAAATTGTTGCTAAATAACTCCCTGAAATCAAGCAATGGGCATGGTAAACTGGGCACTGTTCTGGGGGACAAACGATTTTTAAAAAATCCTGTCAGTAGAGAGTAGATTTTTAAGGCTTAAAGGGCAATTATCAAAATACACAATTTCTTTAAAGTATAACTCCAAGTTTCAATTCATTTAAATGGTTCATAGTGGCCAAGTCGATAACTAGGAAATGTGTCAGTATTGTATAAACTGTATGTAGCATCAGCAGTATACAGTATATAGTGCTGTGTTCCAGCAGCAGTATGGGGGCTTCCAGTTCCATTCCCAGAGTAACATCGAGTCAGGCTGAGCGCTGATCAGCCATTCATTGGAAACTTTGAATTTTATCAATGTAACATTTTGTTACACAGAACAGTTTCAGGTGAAGACTTCCAGTGTGATGAAACGCGTTGGATGGAGCCTTGGCAGTGACTTCATTATGTATGCACACTCATCCAAGCAGTGTGCTTCTTATTTTATATGCTTTTATTCTCATTCCCTTGTTAGTACCATTTTATTTAATAAATAGTATTTTAAGAATAATGTGCTACAGTTTCCTTGTCTCTCCTCCAAGGTACCTGAGGCTGTGTTGTGAGTTGAGCTGAGATGCACTAATGTTTAAAGGGGTCTAACATTTCAAGACTGCATTGAGTGTTTACATGCTGGAGTGCCGAAGAACTGGCAATACCCATTCCCAAGAGTGTCTGGAGGCTGCAAAGCACGTTTTTTTTCACACAAGCCCTAATGACCTCAGTCTCAAGGAGTGATAGTTTGTCCTGGTAAGAAGCTAGTGTGTCAGTGTGGTGCTGGATCACTGAAGCTTTTGTTGTTCACACGGTGGAAAGTTATCACTTGCTTTAAAGGTATCATCACTTATGTTCACATCACATATGGACTTTTATCATTTTTTATAATGATCTAAAACCTTTTCTAATTATTTATAATGTATAATATTTAAACATCAACTTTTGTGTACTTTTTCATATGCTGTGATAAAAAGAGGTAGTGCAACTAATTTTTGCCTTATGAAACATTTATTTTGGTTATCAGTAAACCAATATGTTTTATCCATGTGGCTATCCAAACTGTTATTTTTGCAGTATGGCACTGAGCAAGACCAAAAGGTGCAAACAGTTTTGCTCAGCCTTTAGCTTCTTAGGGCACAATGCACGCTATGGGCTCTATAACATTGACAGAAATCATAATAGTTTGCATGAGCAACCACTGAGAAGTCACTTTTGAAATGTTGAATTACGCATAACTAGCAACTAACTGATACTTGGCATGGGTTGCCTAATGTCACTTGACTTTGCATGGATTTAATGAAGACCCTTTTGTTATTTTTTGATCACACAGATGTCATCCCTGACTAAACATCTGTGACACCAGTAATAATAAAGTATTAGATTAAATGCAAAAATATAATTTGTCCATTGCATAGCACAATTGAAATATAACTGCTTAAAAAGTAGCTTTTCTTATAACGACTTAGGAAGTTATATCTTTTACTGGTGGGAAAGGAGTGAAAAACTTGGCTGTACAATTTTCAAAGCTCACAGCTTTTAGTGAATGTTGATGCATGTTGCTTGTTCACCCATCTGCTTAAAAAATAATGGGGTTGCACTTTCTGATCTCCAATAAGTTCAGACACTTTTATCTGTACCTGTGCTTACAGACACCACCTTCCAAAATCTAAGCACTCATTCAAACGCACGTATGCACAGAAATAGAAAATACAAAGCTGTGACCAGGAAACGTGGGCAGAATCACTGAGACCGATTTTGTTTTCTGTATCAATCCACATAACAGTTAAAGAGAACAAACACAGCAAACATGAGCTGCCAGCGGGTAGCTGTGTGTTTGGATAGAATTCCCAGGGAAAGAGCGCCCCCTGCTGCACAGTTTTGTGCTCCCTCTGCCACAGACAGTGCCCCATTCACAGCTGACAACCTGCTGACTCATCACATGCCAGCAGAACAACAAGCTGCCCTCCTCCTCCCCTGTGCCTGGAATGTCAGGTTATAGAGAACCCAGATGGAAAACTAGTTCAGCCTGGAAGTGCTTCATTCTGTGAGCTAGACCTCAGTTTGCCTGAAACAAATGATTTGTATCTGTAAAGCATGTGCTGAAAAGCAGAGGATACGAGAATAATGAAAATCATTAAAAAAGATTGTTGTTATCCATAACAAAATCAGCTATCCATGTAAATAGGAAACATCATTTTTGTTTCCAATGAGCAACCAAATCTTTTTTGTGATAAGAAACTAGTAATTTTCCTGTCCAATAGTACTTCTGTTGGACCTGAAAGGTTTCTATACTTTTTTTGCTACTTAAAGGGTCAGCCAACCCAAAAGTGGCATTTCAGTTATAGGTGGAGTTTGACTTTTTATATGTCTTTGATGCCCCAACAGTGAGTTCTCTCTGCTGCAATTCTGACCATCTGGGAGTTTTCTGTGTTTCCTCCCTCCTTTGTGTATTCCACATCCTCCTGTTACATTCTCCTAAAT